GATGTAAAAGGAAAATAACATTGTAGAGTTGGAGGCTGCCTATTGGGGAGCCCTGAAGCTAGAGTCATTCAACCTCTCTCTGCCTCAGTTTCTTCATCTGTAAATTGAGGCTTAATGGGCTATAAGGTCCCTTCTGGCTCCAAGCTAGTATCCTCTGACATGGGAGACAATGGAGAAGGTGAATGGAGAGTCTGTGCCAGATTCTGCCTGGGGTTGTGTGAGTCCTCCAGACACCTTTCTAAGACTGTAAGCAGAGGTGAAGAAGCACGTCCTCCAATGAAATCATAGGCCTGGGCCCTCCCCAGTCCTCCCCCAATGGCATCAATAGAGCACTTTAAGTTCGCTGTTGGAAAGGACCTCAAAAGTCATCTTATAGCATCCATTTGCTCCACAGGTTGAGGTTAAGTGACTGCACAGAGGTTGTATGAATTATTTTATTTGAGTCTTAAAATAGTCCTATGAGGCAGGTAGTAGCAATGCTATTATTCCCATCTTATGGGTGAGGAAACTGAGGTTCATAGAAGTACCTCACCTATGGTCACAGTGAGAGTAAGTTTCAGGGGCAGGATTTGAACCCACATCTTCCTGCATCCATGCCCAGTGCCCAGTCGTCTGGGCCATACTACTTCCCCTTATGCCCTTTCTCCATTCTTCAGGTCCCTGATCCTGTCTCTTTTCCCCTTTGACCTTGATGTCTGCTTTTCTCACCAGACCAAAGCCATGTGACATAAGCCCCTCGGCTTTCCCTTCTTTCCGCCCCACGTTTTTATTCTTGTGGGGAGATCAGATAGTACCCGGCTTTCCAATTCACCACGGCCAGTGGCTCACAACGGAAGAAGGGTGGCGGCCATCTAGAGAGTCTGCCACCCCAGGCATCAGTCCTGGTAGACTTGTACCCTCCAGGACAAACAGGTGGATGTGCAGCCTGTCAGGGAGCCATTGGCCAGGTGAGGCTGGGTCCTCAGTTCTGCTGAATCTGTTCCCAAATAGTCATGATCCTATGAGCTGTTGGCCCTCAGAACTTCTGCATGGGGGGCCATTTTTCCATTGAACTCTGTCCGCCACTCAGGGCTTGAGGAATGGGAAAAAGAATCTCTTAGCCAGTTTGGATGTGAACCCATGGAGACCGTCTAGAATCTGAATGCAGCAGGGGCTGGCCGGCTGCCCGTCGTCAGGACCTGGCTGTGTTCCAGGGCTTGCCACAGAGAAAACTTTCGTCTTGTAAAGAAGGCCGTTGGGGTAGAGTTCTGAGACCTAGGCATGACCTTTTCCCCCAGCTCCAAAAGGAGGAGGGGCTGGAAACAACAGCCCTTTCGTTGCTCTCCCAGAGAATGAAATGCCGTTGCTCTAAGCCATGGCCGGAAGTGATTGATTTACCTATACTTTCTGTTTGATACAAATCAAAATGTCCTAACAATTTTTGTTGTTGTTCAGTTGTGTCTGACTCCTCACGATCCCATTTGGGGTTTTCTTGGCAAAGATACTGGCGTGGTTTGCCATTTCCTTCTCCAGCTCAATTTACAGATGAGAAAACTAAGACAAACAGGGTTAAGTGACTTGCCCAGGGTCACACAGCTAGGAAGTGTCTGAGGCCAGATTTGAACTTGGGAAGATGAGTCCTTCTGATGCCCAGCCCAGTGCTCTATCCAGTGTGCCACCTCGCTGCCCAAAGTAGGCTGGGCCACTTTGGGAGCTGACGGGTTCTGTCTTGCTGGAGGGCTTCAATGAAAGGCAGTTTGTTAATCAGGCACAAGTTGGACCAGGTGATTTTTGAGGTCCCTTCCACCTTGGACATTCTGTGAGTTGGTGATTTTTAGTCTTGACTTCTCTTCTTGAACCCCTGAGACCCCTCTTAGAACATTTGCCAATACTACAAGTCAATATGAAACATTAGTATTCATGTCTTAGCCGGATTGTATGTCAACTGCCCTTACATGATAGGTACTTGGCAGACATTTGAAAGATGAGAATGAATGAATGAGGGAATGAATCAATAAATTAATATATGTGGGGAGTGGAGGTTAATGAATCAGAGAATCATAGGTTTTGAGTTGGGAGGGACCTTTAAAATCATTGAACCCAAGCTCCTTATTTTATAGATGAGGAAACTGAAGCACAGAAAAGTTAGGTGACTTTCCTAGGGCCATACAGTAAGTAAGTGTCTGAAGTGAGATTTGAACTCAGCTCTTCCTTATTTCCAAGTTTAGTAACCTGCCCATTACTCCATGACCCAAAGAAAGGTCATTAGGAGATCCTTGTTTCTGGTGTACCATGTTGCCTTCTGAGACCCTGCATGAAATAACGTGTGTGAAGCATTTTGTAAACCTGAAAGCCCTCTAGGTGTCAACTCTGAAGATGATGATGATGATGATGATGATGATGGTGAGATGGTGGTGATGGTGATGATGATGATGGTGATGGTGATGGTGGTGATGATAATGGTGATGGTGATGATGATGATGGTGATGGTGATGGTGGTGATGATAATGGTGATGATGATGATGGTGTGATGGTGCTGGTGGTGATGGTGATGGTGATGATGATGGTGGTGGTGGTGGTGATGATGATGATGGTGATGGTAATG